CGCGCGAGTGAGGAGTTTCCTCTCTCCCCATCTCTCCCTCCTCTTTGGGTTGATTCTCTCCCACACTTCTCACCGTCACGGAGGAAAACAGCATCGCAACGCGTGCAGTTGCGTTCAGCGAAATCGCGAAACCAAGGGCGCTTTTCGGGCTATCGAGAGGAGAGCTGATCACGGGCATCTTATTCCTTTACTTTCTTCTCTTTTTCTCGGCCTTATCGCATGTAGCGTTTTATTCGATCAGAATACGACGAGAAACTTATCATCATTATGGGGGAAGACCTGCCCTCCGGAGACGCCCGGCGTGGTTAGTTCCAGGTGAAACCGAGCAGGCTCGTGAAGGCGTGCCAGGTGTAGCGCCACTCGCGGGGGTTGCAAGTGACGTTTTGGTGTTTTGTTTTGACAGCGGGCGACCTGTCGCCCGTTTCGCCGAGATAGAAGGGATTGTACGGAGGGAGTGACTGTTTGTTTTCGTGCGCCCTGCAGCGTTGGGACAGCTCGCAGGGGCGCCGACCGTGACAGCGTAGGGTGTCACGTACCCCGTAGTGTGCTCGCGCGTGTGTTCCGTCCGGATCGTGTGACTGTGTCAGTGACAGGCACGGAGATTTCTCTACTGCGTCAAGCTTCCTAAATGATTAGAGGATTACGCGAAGAAGATTCTTGAAATTGTGCGAAGTGACGTTGTTTTTTTGGAGCAATCTGATTTTAAATTAAAGGATTAAGTTAAATTAAGTGATTAATTATGGCTGTGATGGGGACGGCATTGATACTTCGATCGGATGGCGGCAGCGACGATAGGAGATCGCGTAGATGTAACCCTCGAGTGAACAGGGTGAGAATCGGTGGTCGCCGAACGTCGAAAGGCTCATCCGGCATCGAACATGAATCGGTTACAGCAAAACGTAGTGGTTCCGGAAAGTTTCTTCTGGTTGGCGCTGTCCTGGCCATACAATTCGTTGGCGCAGCAGCGATAACTAGCAAGGGTGAGTGCTTTTTCTTTCGACTTGGAGCGTCTTGGTGGTGTGGTCAAAGAATAAATCTTTCGTATTGCAACTAGAATGCGTACGTGGGTGTGCGTATTTATTTTCTGAATTGAAACTCAGCGAATAAAATGGTTAGAAAGTAACAGTGGAGATGATTGATAAATAGCCTCGGATTTTTACACATTGTTGTCGCAAAATAAAAATGCAAACAAGGTTTAATACTTGGACTTAGAAAGCTATATATACATACATATGCCTAATTCCAAAGATCGTTATTTTTTTGAAAAAACAATTAACATCGAGACGATATAAGGATAAGCTAACTTTTTCTTATATGTGCTTACAGTTTGCAATATATAATATTAATACAATATAATAAATAAATGATCAATAAAAAGACACAAGACGAATATAAAAAAATCTTAAAATTACAAAATTTCGCATTTTTAATTCTGATTAATGAAAATTTTAAGAAATATCTTTTTTATTTTTATGGTAAAACATTAAGAATATTACTACAGTTAGAACAATAAAGATATTTTATAACGTTGCCTCCATTCAACTTATGTGTATCTCAATATGAAGTCCATATCCAATTTTAACATGGAATTGAGACTACTTATAGTCTTTGTACTTAGACGCGCAAGGCTAAAAACCATTGCTCAGCTTTCAATATCTCATAATCCAATGACTTCGATTTTCTAACTTTGACCTCGAGAGAATTGTTGGAGGAACGTGTCTGTTGGCGAATTACCCACGTTCGATCCGCGAAATATTCCATTGCGAATCGAGGCAATTGACGCTGTGGCGATCGTAGCGCACACCTTAGGGATTCGCTTCTCGCTTTCCGAGCAATCAGCTTTCGATCAGCCGTCGATTTCTGATTATCGAACTACGCGACACGGACGAGACGGGGAGCACCCCGATCCCGTCGATTTTGTATTCGAGGTGACCGACCGCCGTAACTGCGTACGGGATTTAAGAGATTGCTCGAGTAATGCCGAGAGACGCAGACGCATACTAAGCAATTCGGCGACCCGACCGGTTCTCCTTTCATCTCGGAAGCTAAGCTAACCAACGCGATTTTCGCCTCTCGCATCCTGACGGCGCCACGTCAAGAATGAATTTCAAGCAGTCACGACGCGATGACCGGAGCACGGAAGGAACTGCGATCGTTACATTCTTCTCCTCTCTTTTACTGGATACGAATTCATAGAATCGGCAATTTTAACACTTCGATATCATCGCCGGACGAAATAATTGGCATAATTTTAAAATATAGAAAAAATTTTATCTTTTTTCCGTATCTTTTTCCCATATCACCCTTTTTGTACGAATACGAATTATTTGATAAATATTTTTATTAATACTGACACGCGAACGTAGTAATTTTTTATTTATTTATTTTTTTATTAATATTGACATACCAGAATGAACGTGCGCCATCGATAATAAAATTGCAATCGTCGTATATTGTTTGAACGCGTTTCGATTGATAATACCATGTTATATGATCATGCACCATGTATATACGATCCGAACTAAAAGACGTTAATGTAAATTTCCGTCGTCGCAATATCGCGTGCAAACAATTCTTGTGTGCTCGTCTCGAGTAGCTGCATTATGTAAGGCAAAGAACGATATAGTTATCTAATCGATAGACGTAGCTTAATGCTTGCGTACTCATGTAACATGCATGTATATACATCCAAACAAGCATATACATATGAGATAATAAACAATGACGAATATCCATTTTGCAATCGCCAATATTGCATTTTCTTGGTAAAAAGTTATTTCGTACATTTCACATCAAACATTTTGCCTAGAAATTAGCAGCGAACAATGGAAACGTGTTACACCTCTACCATCTCTATCATCTCTCCCTTTGCTGTGCGTGAGGTTTGAATATGTAAATTTCAGAAATGACATTATTAAACCAAAGGTATGTTATATTTTATATGCACGAGAGGGAGAGTTCATTTTAAATAAAATAATGTCACCGAGCTCGACATTGTACGTCGCTCCCGCAATCCGCTGCTCGAAACTCCGCTATCTTGCATAAGTTCTTTCGTAGTAACGTCCACGGGACGTCGAATCGTGTTGGTACCGTGGCCGTCGTTATCGTCCGACGTATCGTCCAGCGGAACCGACATTGAATTAATTGAAAGCCGTCGCGTTGCACGGGCTTCGCGCATACCGGAAGACGTCATTTTGATCTGGTTTTAATTAAACAGCGGACGTCGCGCGTCTCGCGAAGAGAAGAGAGAACCGAGAAGGTCGCATCCACGCCCGTACCCGACATGGAACGGACGGGAGAATACGGGGAAGAGGAAGAGATTGACGTGAGAGCGAGAGCTCGTTGGATGATTGAGGACAACGACGGAACAACGTTAACGCGATTAAAAAACGTACGACATGACCGA